CCCCACCCCACCCCCCCCCCCCCCCCCCGCCGACTTGGCCCTTCCCTCCCCGAGCGGCTGCCTCCCTCCTGCCCTCCTGCCACCCCAGACCCAACTTCTCAGAATGCAGATGCCTCCAGCACCTTGCCTGCTGGCGCAGGCATCATTTCACCCCCATCAATCAGATGGCTGTGTGCGGGTCTGGGGTACAGGGTTGGGGCTTGGGGGTCCGCCTGACAGACGTGGCCGGGGGCCGTATGTGTGCGTGTGCGTGTGCGTGTGTGTGTGTGTGTGTGTGCGTGTGTGTGTGTGTGTGTGTGTGAGCTCAGCCACACCTCAGCCAGGCGCTCCCCCCCTCCCCACCCCATAACTGGTGGGACAGAAGGTACTCCCGATACTGCCTCCTAAGACAATGGTGGAGCGTGAAATTCAATTAGTTCAGGGCCTGGTTCCAATTTCACAGCCCCTAAATGTAAAAGGAGCAAAGAGAATGGGAGGGTGGGGGAGAGGTTTTTATTGCATTTTCCCTTTCATGCTGGGGGGCTTTCTCTCCCCTTCTCTCTCCCCAGCAGGCCTCAACCTGCACAGGGCTATTCAAGGAGTCATTTGGAGTCCATATCTGTCACATCCATTTAAGGCGTTTCGGGTGGAGGGAAGGGGCGGGGTAGCAGGCACAGGCTCGTCCGCTGAGCTCCAGCCACGGGCCCACTGCCCTCTCCTCCTGCCCTAGGGGTCCCTGTGAAGGTGACCAACGTCAGGGATGGCACCACCCACAGCACGGCCTTGGAGCTCTTCCTGTACCTGAATGAAGTCGCGTGAGTGCCCGCAGCCCTGCCCGGCCTCCTGGGAAGCCACCATCTTGGGCAAGCACCAGCCCGGACCACTGTGGGGGGCTGATGGTCCCAGCCTGAGGCTGAGGGGCCAGGGAGGACAGGCCAGTGTCCTGCAGTCAGCCTCGGCACAGCCCCATAGCCATGGGGTCCTCTGGTTCGGTGGGAGAATCCTGGTGGCCCTCAGCCTTGGAAGGCAACAACCCCAGGGGTCTGCTGCCCCCTAGGGATGGTCCAGAACTTCCAAGCTCTCTACTGGATCTGAGACCAGGGTAGAAGGAAAGATGGGCAGTGGATAGGGCTGGGCGCCACGTGAGGCCCAGGACAGAGAAAAAGGAAGTTGCATGTTGAACTCGCTGTGTGTCCTAGGATAGCCCTTCCCTCCTTGGGCCTCAGTTTCCCCACCTGTCCAATGGGTGGTTGGACCAGGGGGCCTGGCTCACGTGCCCTCTGAGTCTTGGATCCCGAGGTGGTGGCTGGCGCCCTGCCTGTGACCCCGAGTGACCGGTTCTCCCCACAGGGGCAGGCATGGTGTGGGCCGCATCGACATTGTGGAGAACCGCCTCATCGGCATGAAGTCCCGGGGTAAGTCGCTCGCCAGCCTCAGGCGCATGCCTCGGCTCCCAGCGGCCCCTAACACCCCAGTCACATGTGGGTGTTGCTCCTCCCGGGCTGACTTTGGGCAAGTCCTTTCACCCCGCCAGACTGTTTCCCTCCTGGGAAGTGGGGATGAGGGGCCCTTGGCCACTGATGTCTGAAGGCATCACGAGAAGAGCTGTCCCAGGAGCAGGGAGAGGCTCAGAGGAGAGAGGAGCCGGAGGTCAGGCTCTCTCCTGTGGCCCTGGGGCGGGTCGGCCAGGCTTAGAGGCGGACCATGCAGGGCTGATTTCGTGGTCATTAGGGCTGCGTTGACGAGGCCAGCTGGCCTGGTGGGGTGGGAATCCCGCCAGGGGTGGGCGCTGTGAGCCAGCCAGGGCCTGAGGGCCTGTTCCAGGGTCTGGCATGGCATGGGGGCGGGGCTCTGCCATGGTGCTGAGTGGCTGCCACCTTGGCTAAGCTGCCCGGCCCATACCCACCTCTGGCTGGGCCTGGAGGGAGGATAGGCTGGTCCCCGAGCAGGGGCTCTCTCTCCTCTTAGTAAGCAGAGCCCCATGGGTCCCTATCAGTCACTCATCGTGTTGTCTGGACCACACCCTCCCCCCATCCATATGAGGGGATCTCCTGTTCCCCAGTGGTAAAGCAACGCTGCGTGCTTCCGGACTTCAAGATGGAGGGGCAAGCTTTCAGCAGTCAGAGTCCCTGGGTTGGGCACTCGAGTCCTTAAGCACCGGGGGGGGGGTTGAGGCCTCATGTGGGCAGGTGTTTAACTTGCTTTGCTTAGGGTCAATTTAAAAGGATGACACAGCCAAATAAAACCAGGCCAGGGTATAGCCATGGCCCTTTGTCTTTCAGAGTGTTTTTACTAAGATTTTAAAATCCAAAGAGAGGTGATGGCTGGATTTCAGCGGTTAGAAAGGGCACTGGTCAGGAGGCAGGATGCTGGGGCTTTCATGCCAGGTTCGCTGTGCCTTGCTAGATGACCTTGGACTTGTTATCTCTGGGCCTCAGTTTCCCCAGGTGTAATGCGGTAGGCATGGGGATGGGAGCTGGATCATTCTGGCTCTGACCTATTTGAATTTATCTCAAAAGGGGAGGAAGGAAGGAAAGTGGCTTTCCCTCTTTCGTGTATTTTTTCCTCTTCGACACACATATACTCTGTGAGAGACAACCTAATTGAAACTCTCTCGGGAAGGCCTTGTGGAGAACAATATTACTGATTAGCTGCTCCCTTTTATCCTCACTTACCTTTGTATCTTACCTATATTAACATCTGATTAAATGTCGCTTTGTCTCAGTCTGCCCTTGGGAGCCAGCACAATGCAAACTATCCAAGGCAGACCCTGGAGGGACCTTGGGGAGCCAGAGACCAGCACCCTCATTTTACAGGCAGGGAAACCGAGGCTCAAAGTCACAGGCACCAGGACCGGGACTGACGTCCAGACACAGAGGGGCAGGGAGTGGAGGGCTGAGAGCTTGAACTCTGCTAGATCCGGGTTCTAGCCCATGTGTAATAGCAGGAAGTGGCCCAGGGGAGGAACTTCATAAATGGCAGCAGCCCCACAGGGATGCTGAAAGGGCAAAGGCAGCCTATGCCCTCTGGGTACCGTCTGAGTGGCTCAGAGATGTCCGCTCTGCGCTTATTGTCACGTCCCTGCCACGCCCAAGGCAGGCATCACTAATTGATTGTGGATGTAGATCAGTGCTGCTGACAATGGAAAGATGAGGGCTGGCCTGAGGTCACTCTGTGAAATGGCACGCAAGTGAACTTGAACGGAAGGAGGTAGTCATAAAGGCGCGAACTGGGCTGATCTGGGAAGACATCCTGAAAGAGGTGGCAGGAGAATAGGCTTCAACTGGTAGAACGTGGAACACAGTGGAGTAGGAGCCTTCCAGCAGGAGTGGTAGAGAAGGTAGGAGGAGCCCCAAGTGGCCAGCTGGGTGGTGGGTTGGGTCTGAGGCTGACTGACCCCCTGGAGACCTTGGGAAGACACATTGAAGGGCTGGTGTCAGGGGCCAGGCCCTGTTTACCACACTTGACTCCCCATCTTGGCTCCATCACCGTTGGGAAAGCAACGTAGCCTCTCTGAGCCTCATCTTCATCTGTGAAATGGGTTGTGGTGCAGATCAGAGACCTGTTGACCCATAGCAGGAGCTGTGCCTGGATGGTAGACTTCCTACCTTTTCCCCAGAACTGGGGGCGTCATCACCACTGAAGGTGGGAGTCATGAGATTAGCACTTGGTTCCAACTCCCTTGGCTTCTGACCACCCGCCTGAGGAAAAGATTCCTGGAGCACAGCCCTCACTCTACCCAGGTACTCTGTGTGTACCTGTGGGGGGCTGTCCCTAAAAGCATAGAATTTAGCCTGAGCGTGGTACAGTCTTTGGGGAAGACAACCAGGGTTCTAAGTCCCAAGAATTTGCTGTGTGACCTTAGGCAAGTTGCTTTCCCTCTCTACGACTCTCAACAACAAAAGTGGGCACACTCGGTGATCTCACCATCTCCCTCTGGAAGTTCTAACTTGCCTATTTTCTGACTTGGGTTGGGGGGTGAGAATAGAAAGTTGCTTCATAATTTTAGGGGGAGGTCTTGTTTTTTATTTCTCCACTCCCAATAATTCACTGTGAGAAAGAAAGGCAGGGGGTAGGGGCAATAAATGAGGACGAAGTGGATTCACCCACAGGTCTACGGTCACGGTCACGCGAGAAGCTGTTAATTGTCAATTATATTGAGGGCACAGCAGGAAAATGCTGTCGTTTGTACCTTGGTATACAAGGGGGAAATGTCATTTGTATTGATTTTACAAAGCTCGCAATTGAAATTCGTTAAGGGCTTGGGGTTTTTGGGGTGGGAGTGGGTGGCGGTGGCTGGGTAGGAAGTTGGGCATTGCTAGTGCCCTGGGTCTGGGGTGGCCGGGTCGGCAGCAATCGGGGCCATGGGGTCAGCGGGCCGGGGGCTGGAGAAGCTGCAGATGGAGTAGCTTTCGCTGTATTGTGGCTGTTCACATCGTCATTATCACATTATCTTTTTAACTCTGGAGGGGGGCTAGTTAAGTGAAGGAAATGTAATCAGTGGGGAGAAGGGGGGCAAGGAAGGCAGGAGGGAAGCAGGGAAGGGGGCAGCACGGGTCCTTCCCTCGCCTTCTCTCCGGCTGGTTCCCCTCCTCCCGGCCCCGCCCTGTGGGGCTCACCGCCCCCTGCCGCCACCGCTTCCCTCCGCCGACCCCCTCTGCCCCCTCCTCACTGCCTGCTTTCTGTTCTCCCCTCCACTCCCCCCTTTCCTCCACCCTTCCCATCTCTCTCCCACTCTCCCGTCCTCCCTCACTTCCTCCTTACTCCTCCACTTTCTGGCTAAGAAGGAACAAGGGTTGCCTCCCACCTGTCCAGGCCTCCCAGAGGCTCCACTCAGATGGAATGTTCCAGAGTGGAGGGAGACCTGTGAAGCAAAGGTGTTTGCATTCCCAGAAGCCTGGAATGGCGAGACTCAGAGGCCCACCCTGATTCCCAGGCTGGGGCCTGTGGGGTTCCAGGAGCACAGAGGATGGCCAGAGCCCCACCGGGACTTGCCTCCCCCTCACCATGGCAACCGCCTCTATCCTTGGCCCTGGTACCTAAGAGGGGAGCCCTTGGGCTCCAGCCAAGCTCCCTTCCCCTGGCCTTTCCAAATCCCTCCCTCTGGATACTGCTTTCCCAAAGGATCAGAGGCTCTGGTCCGGGTGCCCTAGCCCCCAGCTCCGCCCCCGCCCCCCAGCCGAGTTGGCGGGTCCCACTCAATCCTGCCAAATTGCTCAGTCGGGGCTAACCTGGCAGCCTCAGGAACAGATGAGAAGGCTTTAAGTGGTGGCAGCTGTTTTGGTCCCCACCTCTTCCTCCTTGGTCCACCGTCCCCCAACCTCGGCCGCCCCCCGGCTCCTCACCCTTCTGCCCCACCCGCTCCTTGGCAGTAATTATGGTGCGATTGAAGCTGCCCCACGGAGAGCCGCTGGCACCTCTTTTTCCTGTAAACACAGAGAGATGAAAATAGACACTTGAATCCACTGCACGTGTCACTCCGAAGATGTCTGCTGTCTCTTCCACAGCGACACCGAGACTCACCTGTCATTTACTCCTTCTTTTTGCGCAGTGGTTTGTATGCCGGCTGTCAAAAGCCCCAAATCCATCGTCTTTTAGCATCAGGATTCTGTCACTGGTTTTTTTAAAGTCATTTCTTTTTCCAGAAGAAATACACAGAAATCATCTGTACCCACTACCCCTGTGGAGAGGAGAGGGAAGATCTTTAAGATACACACACACACACACACACACACACACACACACGCACGCACGCACACACGCCCCACAGCAGCAACCTGAAAAAACAGGCTTTTTTGATCAGTCACAATTAACTTTAACACCTTCTAGGAAAAGGAACAGGAATATTAACTGTGCTGGTGTGTTTCACGGCTGCGGCCTTTCTTCTTGCCTATGACTCTTCCTGCAGCTGCCTTGGAGGGTTGACAGCTGTGAGGCTGGTTCTAAGGGCTCAAGAATGAGTGACTCTGCCTGCCAGGCACTCTGCCCTTTTCCTGGGGAGGCTCTAAGGTGGGGCAGTAGCGGGGGTCCCTAGGGCAAGCATAGCTCTTCCTCAGTGGAAAGTATGGATGTCCTCTCACCCTGCAAACCACCGGTGCTGTTCCCTCTCTGGACCGCGGGTAAGTGGTGCTAGCGAGCTGGCTACAGTGTTCCAGAGACAAAACCACCAGTACGCACTAGGGGACAGTGTCCGTCTGGGTGCTCACCTTCAGGCAGGTCTCAGTGGAAGTTAGAAGGAAAAGCAGCAGACACTTGCAACCGTCTCCTTTTCCGGACAGGTGGCCGGGACCTCAGAGGGGGATGAGGTGGGCCAAGGTCACATAGCAGAGCAGAGCTGAGCTGTGCACTCTCCGTGAAAGTATAAGTTGTGAGGGACTTCTGGTCTACAGCTCCGGCCCTACAAATACACCTTGCACCCTGCCCACAGCTGGCCAGATGAAGACAGGAGAGCAGGAGGCAGCTAGGTTCTCCAGGAGCTGAAAACGAGGAGGGCCTCTGCTATTGGCCTGCCGTTGTGAGTGTGTGTGCCAGCATAAGGAAGGCTTTGAGAGTTTCTGAGTTTTTACAAAATGTGGCAAAAGTAATAATGAGGAGGAACCAGAAGGCCCATTTCTAGTCCAATCTATATTGAGTTCTTAGTATATACTAGGATGAGAAGACAAATAGGCCTTTGTTCTTGTCTCGCTTTTGGTGGCTCTTGGTGATAAAGTTTATGGGGTAATTGAAAACTTGCACATTGCGGTCATTTCTGCCATTTTGGGGAGGCAGATATTTCCAAAAGTTCTGTACATCTCTATCTTTGGAAA